CTGCCCCTCCTTGGAGGCCACAGGCCTGCGGCGGCCTGGAGTAGCTCCATGTCGCAGTTCTGCAGCAGGCTGGGGGGCACTGACCTGTGTGCGTGCGGGCGTGCCTCTGTAACTCGTCGCTCCGAGTGAACCTCTTTCCACAGAAGAACCAGTTGCAGACGAAGGGCCGCTCGCCAGTGTGCAGGCGCACGTGCGCACGCAGCAGAGACGTCTTGCGGAACGTTTTGCCGCAGTCAGGGATGTGGCACACGTGCTTCTTCTTGCCCTGCTCGCCAGACCTGGCCGGGGAAGGAGGGGGCGAGAGGAACGGATGAGGAGAGAGGGATGGGGAGAGGCCCAGGAGGGAGGGAGGCTGGGAGGCTAGGTCGGGGAGCAGGGGGAGATGGCAGGAGGGGCTGCCCTGGCAGCTGGCCCAAGAAGGGGCCGTCTGCCCACCCACCTCTTCTCCCCGTCTTTGCAGTTGGGGCACGTGCAGGCCATGCGGCGGCGCTTCTCTCCGGGGGGAGCCTCCCCGGCCAGGGCCTGCTCCATCTGCAGCTGGATCTGGGTGGGGCTCAGCCCGCTGATGGTCAGGTTGTTCCCAGAGACGTTCTGCACAGTCAGCTGCTGCTGCCCTGTGGGGCAGGGGAGGAAGCCCAGAGTGAACCCGGTGCTGCAGACCCCTCTCCCCTTCAGCGCATGACAGGACGATACAGGATGATAGCAGTTAACGCTTGCCAGCTAGCTTTCTATGGATGGACGTCAAGCCCCACCAGAGAGAGAGAGAGAGAGGAGCTCTTCTCCCCAAGGCTCACATTCAAGCAAGTGGGAGAACTGGGATCTCGAGCAGGCCGTCGACCAGAGGCAACGCCCTGCCCCCTAAAGGCCGCAGGCAGAAGTGGCCTCCCAAGGGTACCCCAGTGGGTTGTCCTCAGTCTGTGGGAGATACCAACTCTGCTCTCGGGAAGGCCTCTGGGGGTTTCTGACAAACGTAAAGCTGTCTAGCTTTGGGGTGAAGAGTGGAGTAGCCTGTGTCCTCTAGGGTGACACCTATGTGTAAGGTCCTTCAAAGCAAGGACGCATCCCCGACCCTCTGGGCGGACCCTTAGGCCCTGAGTCCCTTGAGCTCCTTACAGAAGAGGAGCCTGTCCTCTCTGAGGGGCGTGACGTCACCTCAGCGGAGGCAGCAGAAGGAAGGGCAGTGAGTTCACTCACGACAGAGAAAGGGTGCTCCGGGAGCCACCAGCTGGATGGCACCCTTTGCCCAGGGGAAGCGGGCAGCAGCAGATTGCCGCGGGAGGGAGGAGCATGCCTCCTCTTCCCTGCAGGGCTGCCCTCAGTGTGACTCCACTGAACCGGGGTGCAGCACAAGCCCCCCGCCACCCTTAACTCGAGCTTCTTCCCAGGAAGCCCTCCTGAGCCTGGTGGACGCCGTTGGCCCTGACCCTGTGTCCCCGTCCATCTGGACGTGCGCTGCAGCCCAGGACACTGGCTCCATCACAGTCCAGCCTTCTGCTGTGAGACGGGAGCAGCACTTGCCTGGTGCGCGCTCCTACAGGGCTACTGTCGGGACCAAAGGGATGGGAAGGGGCCAGACAAGGAAGAGGAGGACCAGCGAGGTGCCCACAGTGGGGGCTGGGCACGGGGCCCACACTTGGTGGCAAGAGTGTCTCCTTACCGCCGGTATTGGTGATGGTGACAGGCACGCCCTGCACCTGGACGCCGTTGATGTTAATGGTCTGCATGGCCTGGGCGGCGGCTGCCAGCTGGGCCGCGTTCAGGCTGATGATGCTCCCGGCAGGAGCGATCTTTGGCAGGGGCCGCTCTTTTCGGAGGATGGCAGCTGAATGCTTTTTGCTGCTCCCACTGATGTGGGGAGCCCGGGCCACGGGGCTGTTACCGGTGGTGGTGGAGGTGGTCACAGCTGTGGCTGGGGGGCTGTCCTGGACAAGGACCGTCTGTACCTCACCGGACGGCGTGCGGATGTAGACCTGGAAGGAGCCAGAGGGAACAGTCAGAGCCCAGCCCCAGACCTTCTGGGAACTGGGGACCTCTGTCAGCCCAAGTCTCTTTGTCAACTGGCCTAACCCTGTATTTACACCCTGCCCTGTCGATGTTCAACACAGGACTGGCGGCAATCCCACACTAAGCTGGAAAATGCTGACTGCTGGTTTGAAACCAAACATTTCATTTACGTAGCGTGTAAAGAGAACTCCTGACTTGAAATGCATTTATGTAGCGTGGAAAAAGAGAACTTTCTGACGACCAGCAAACGACAACTGGTTCAGCTCTATTCATCCTTCAAAGAGCCACTAATGCACGAGAAATAAAATTTCCCAATTCAAAGTGGCAGAGAGTAAAGGTAGGGAGCTAAGACAGTGAGGCTGCAGGAGGAAAACGGCCGTCGAACTTGAAGGCGTTGCCTTTGGATCTGGCAGGAATTCTTAGTCACGGCACCCAAAGTACAAGCCACACAAGCCAGACACGAGGCTCCATCAAATAGAAGACGGGCTGCAACGAGGAGAACTTGCCGCTTGCCCTGTCTGTGGCGAGCACCTAGAGCATTCTCACAGCTCAGCAGTAAAATCAAGACATCTAACTCACTAAAAGGGAGAAACGAGTAATGGGTCTGAGTAGGAATTTCTCAAAAAAGGTACCAGTGGCTGAAGGCAGGGGAGTCCGCTGAGAAGACAGAAGAGCCAGCCTGGAAGACAGACCTCGGTGGCCAGAGCTAGAAATCTCTTAAGCAACAAAATAAATACTGTCCCATCACTCCCCACTGCTAGAAAGAACCGACTGAATAAGTACATCAATGGGGTGGGGGCAAACCTTCCCTACAGAAGAATCCCAACATCTGTAGCTGCTCAGCCTCGCAGGGCCTGGGGCTTACTTCCCACCCCTACCCCTGAGGGTGGGCTAGACCTGGTGACTCACCGTCAAAAAACGCAGTACGAAAGGGGAAAGGAGTCATTGTACAGTAGAAGAACCCATGGCACCTCACCAGGGGTATCGTGTATTCCAACAGTAACATCGAGAAAAGGGCAATTGCTTCTGTAATGAGTTTCCCCCAAACCCCTGGGTCCAGTCTAGTCAGAAGAAAACACCAGACAAACTCAGACTGGAGGGCATTTTGCAGGACAGCTGGGCATCCGCCTCCAGATTGGCAAAAGGTCGTGTGTGAAAAGGCATGACTGAGAAAAGACCACACGCCAGAGGGGATGGAGGAAGACTTGATATCGTGGTCCCCGGGACGGGATGGGCCCTAAAATAGGCCATAAATGGGGACATAGGTCAAGTCCAAATGCAGTCTGGAATTCTGTCAAGAATGAATGCACCAGTGTAGTGTGTGTTTTTCTTTAGGAAACATGTCCCACGGTCATGTAAGAGGTACAGGACCATCTAAAATTACTCTCGGACAGAAAGGTCATTTGAAAAAGTACACTCATAGTAAAATACCTAGTTGCTCTCAAAAGTGCAATCGATTCTGAACTCATTGTGTGCCCCTCTGTTTCAGAGGAGAACTGCACTCCACAGGGTCTGTCCTGCCCCCCCGCCCCCACCCCACCTACACCCCACCCCAGGCCTTTCTTCTGGGGCTTCATCCTTGCAGGGAATCTGAACTGTTACAGCTGAGTGATACCATGATAAAACTAAGCTACTAAAACAAGCCTGTGAGGAATGGGATGTTTACCTCCTCTCAAAGTATCTCTCCACAAAATAAATACTTATTAACTACAAAGAGAAATAAAGTAACTTGGTGCTACAGAAACCTGTCAGGCACTTTCCTCCTGACCAGTCAGGCACAGCCGGAAGTCACGGCCCTCTCTTTAGGTCTCAGAACACAGCATCACTTTGTGATGTTTCTGCCAAAAAAAACAAAGAACAACAACGTGGATCCCCTGCACTGAATGCCAAGAAACATCACACAAACCTGAACTACAGAACATGCCGCAGAACAGCGGGCCTCAGCTTCCCGGGTCACGCTCCCGAGAGGCAAGGCAAGTCTGGGCGACTGTTCCAGACCCAGGAAGAAAGGACGACCAAGTGCACTGTGTGAGCTAGGTCAGTGCTTGGGCGCTAATGGGGTCCTGGAACAAGGGGGGGCACCTGAATCTGATGAAGCTTCATCACTCACCCTCACCTGGCCGGGAGGATGGCTGTGTGGCTATAGTGCAGGAACGAGGTACTTTCTGGAAAGCATTTGCAGGTACTGAAGTGATTCGGGGGAACAGATTTGCTGTAAACCCCCACCCCAAAGGCTTGCTGTGCTTTTGATTGGGGTTAGTTTTAAGTCGGATTATTTAGACCTGTGTTTCTGAGAAATCAAACAAAGCTCATGTCACCTCTTAGTAAACAGACAAATCTCCCTAGTTTTCTAGCATGTGCCCCTTCTGCAAATCCTTGGTATTTTCTCTATTGGAAGCTTCTGTTCCTAGAACTTCTTTTGTTCTCAGGGACTGCTGGCAAGCTTTGGTAAAGGGCGAGAGAGTAAATATTTTAGGCTTTATTGTAACTACTCAATTCTGCCACTGTATCACTAATGTAGCCCTAGCTGTAGACAGTACACAAGCAAATATGGCATGGCTGTGTTCAGACACAACTTTACTTCAAACATGGATTGGACCTGTGAGCTGTAGCATACTAACTTCTAATACAGATACTTTTTAAAAAGGTATGCTATTCTTTGGCTCACTTTGGGGAATTTACTTAGTTGGAAGACCGGAAGCAGCTTACTATACGGTGAGTAGGTTCCCAGCTGTATAGCTAATAACACCTACAGAGATCGGAGGTGGTGTCCAGCTTGCAGCGACTCCTCGGGAGACAGATGAGGCCATCTTGCGTCTGTGAAGATGCAGCCTGGAGGACCCCATGAAGCACGTTCACGCTGCCAGGCAGGGTGGCCAGGAGTCAGAAGGGGCTCACTGGCAATGGGGTGTGTGTGTGTGTAAGGATAGCATACTTTAAAAAAAAAAAAAAGGGTAGCCTACTCTAGTTGTTCAAGAAAAATGTTTAACTGTGTCTGCACATCTATGCTTACTTGCTTGGGAGGACTCAGGCTCAGTCCTGCCCCCACCAACCTCAGGAGCTGGGGGCTCAGTGAAGGGAGGCGCTGCCCCCTTAAGGTAGGCCTGGTAATGGAGCTCACAGATGCTGGGACAAGAAACGATGTGAAGAACATCACTTGGTAATACTATAAGTGACACACACACAGCCATCAAGTCGACTCCTACCCATCATACCCCCTCTGTAGAGGGCAGAATAGAACTCCCTAGCATTTCGGAGGCTGTAAATCCTGACATGAGCAGACAGCCTCGTCTTTCTCCCACAGAGGAGCTAGTGGGTTTGAACTGCTGGCTTTGAATCTAGCAGCCCACCACATAATCACTACACCACTAGGGCAGTGAAAGAGCCACAAGGAAAAGGCATACGACTTCCTCCCGCCTGACTTCCACTCCTGCAGCCCAAATCCAAAGGCCCATCTTCACCCAGGGGACATACAATTTCCCGCCCTCATTCACTGCAAAGCTTCTGTCTAGACAACTGGGCCCTCTCTATGCAGCTAGATGATGAACTCAATTGTATGTATGCATCTATACATACATACATACGGATACACACACACACACACACACATATATATATTTAGCCTCTCTCTCTCTCTCTGATCCCTGCTTACAATTTCCACTGTATCACCAGCCACACCTGAGACACAGAGTTAAGGTGGGAAAATGAGCAGTGTGGGGTTTGAAGTCAGAATGTGAGTTGTCATTCAGGTCCAAAGAGAATGTGCAGACTCTGGGGTTTCCACCTGCCCCCAGGGCACAGCCCAACAGGCAGGCGCAAAGGGATACAACCTGCCTCTCAGAGCCAGAGGGAGGCCAGAGGGTTGGAGCACGTCATAAAAAGCCAGGATGAAAATGATCCCATCTAAAAGGCTGCAGTAATGCTAGGCTGCCTTGTCCTATTTCTTCTTGTTACCATTGATCAGTATTTCCGTCTCATTAAGTTTCTTACTTTACATCAAATTCCTTGCTTCTGACTTGTACTGTTTTTGTTCTTGCAATTATGACTAAAAAGTACCGGTATGTACCTGCCCACCCAATAAAAGGCTCGTATAAAGAAAAAGCCAGCCCAGATCGACCTGTGTGTCGCCTGCTCTCTGACCAAAGGTCAAGTGGGGACGCCAGCACAGAAGCCATGCATAGTGCTGAGGGGAGGAGGAAGGCGCGGAGGGCGGTATGGTACCTGAGTAGGCGTCTGCTCAGCCGCCTGGATCTGAAAGTTCTGGGAGGGCTTCTGGGGCACTGTGGGGAGGGTGGCGGAGGCTGCCTGCACCACCCGCAGGGCCTGCTGGGGGATCTGCACCACCTGCTGCTGCTCAGCCTTGGGGGGAACCACCTGGACCTGCTGGACCACGGCCGGCTGGCCGGCCCCAGGGCTCTGCACGATGAGCAGGTTGTTTCCGGCCTGGATGATGTTGTCTGCCGTGGTCTCGATCAGCACCGTCTCCACCTGCTCCGCCACGGCCACGGGGGCCTGGGAGGCCGAAAGGCTCTTCTTCCGAGCTTTCTTGTTTGTCTTGGACAGCGGGGTGGGAGGGCTCTCTGTGAGGAGCTGGGCCGTGGCTCCGGGGTCACTGGTGTTCACAAGGTTGTTGACCGGCAGAGTCAATGTCACGTTGCTGCCCCCACCCGTCAGCTTCACCACGTTGGCTCCGCTCGGCACGGGGGTGGTGACCGTGCTGGACTTCTGGACGGGGGCCGGCTTGATGGGGACGGGCTTGTGGCTGGACGGTGAGGGGGTGATGATGGCTTGGTTGGTACCAGGGATGATCTGGATCTGGTTGGTGAGACTGGGCTGCACTTGGATGGTCGGGGAACTGCTTGCCTGGATCTGGGGGACGGCCTGGTACTGGATGCTGGCACTGGAGCGGCTCCCCTTGTTGAGCATGCCGGGGTTCTGGATCGCAAACACCAGCTGCCCTCCGGGATAGGACGTGCTCAGCTGGGACCCCTGAATCTGAAGTATGTTTCCTTTGGAAGACAAGATTCCAAAGCTATTCTTGCCGAGACTGAGCGGGAAAGGGGCAGGTTTGATAGGAACGAGTTTCCGAGGTGTGGGCTGGGGCGGAGCGGGCGGGGTCACAGCAGCTTCAACAGCCGGGGGGCCAATTTTGCTACATGTTGCCGCAAGCAGGGCTAGAGGAGAAGGCTGGGAGTCCTGCAAACGGAGCGGAGACAAGGAGTGAGACCACCACAAGGCCTACCGTCCCCACCACCCCTCTCGGCTGCTCCCCTCTCTGCTCCTTCCTGGTATCCCCCAGGGAGTGGCTCCGGTCTCCCACTCCCGGCTGGCTTTTCCAGGGAGAAAGGGTGGGATGCCCCTGATCAGGAAGGCACTCCAGTCTGAACTGACCACTGACTGACTCCGCAGCGATGAGGTTCCTGACAGGAGCACAGAACCGTCCCGGCCGGGCTTTGAGCTTTCTTGGACCGAGTTCCGTGAGCCCACTCCAGACTAAGGTGGGGATGGGGGAGGGGCACGGGAGATCCACCACGTCGGGAAAGTGGTTTTCAGTGCTTTGTCCATGAGTTTATGGACTTGAGAGGGCCATTTCTGGCAGGCCCAATGACAGGAGCTCCGGGGTCTGGGCATACTGCCTCAATTTTTAAATTGTTTTTTATGGACAGTGGGCTGTGGTGGCAGGACACTGGAGTTTAATCTTGGTTTATCCTCTGACTCAACTAGGATTGCTTAGGTAAATGGTCAGGGTGTCTTAGACAGCTGACCCTTCCCTGGGCTCATATCTGAGGGTCTTCAGCCAGGAGGGCAGGGCGAATAAAGTGTTTTCAGTTCAAGCCCCTATGAGTCCCTCTGGGTGGGCGCAGCACCCAGCCATCATGCCTCCCCCCTGCTCACCTGGGTGGTGGGGGCAGCGGGCTGCAGGTAGTCACTGGGGCTGACAGCGGCAGTGGCAGCCATGCTGGTGTGTGGATCTGTTGGAAACAGAAATGGAGTTAGCCCCAAGACGCTGCCAGAACTGAGTCCCATGCCCCTGAGTTTCTTCTCGGGGGGCACAAGCCCAGGCTAGTTCAGCCACAGGCCTCGTTCGTTCAGCAGAAGGTCCCCTCCACCGCCCAAACATCTGCGATGAGATGAAGCTACCACGGCTGTCTTCTGTAACGAAGCCATGCCACCCAACTAAGCCCTGTCTGCTGCCCACTGCCGACTCTCCCTAGCTAGACTGAACCCCCCAGAGTGGGCTGGGGAGCCCATCTTCTAGCTCACACTCATTGTCCTATGCACTCCCTCCGCAGCCAGCTGCCCGTGGCCCAGGAGAGGCAGCGCGCGGCCCTGCAGGATTCCTGACCAGGCCCATCGGCTCCACTCAGAGGTCCTGGGGGTGTTGTGCTCAGTCTCCTGCACAGGCCGTGGATAATCTCTTTACGTGAATTTGCACTTGTACTCTGGGCCAAAAGTATGGCCTCATCGTAGCGCCCAGACTAGCTAGGGCCAAGGGCCAAACGGAACTGAAAGGACACCCAGCCAAGGCTTTGCAGTGTGTCTGGATGTCCATGCATGACCACAGCTGAGGGCGGGGACTGGTTGGTGCCCAGAGGATCACCCACATCCCTGCAAGGGTACGTGAGGACCTCCTCTAGGGACTCTCACCCTGGGACCTGGCCTCTGACAAGAAGCAGCTCCACCTAGCTGGGGGCGTGGGTGCCCAAGGTTCAAAGGTTGAACCCAAAGACACCTCCCTGGAGGTGCCCACCCCCCATGGAGATTTATAATAAAGGCTGAATGTATCAACCTAACCCCCCTCCCCTCCAAAAATAACATATATATATATATATACACATACATATATATATAGTTGAGGATGGGTAAGTACAAAAACATTTAAAAATTACTAAGTTTGAAATAAAAAGCATCTATTGCAGCGTATATAAGCACAGGGTCCTTAAACCTTCCATATTTATCTTATACAATGTCTGTCATTGCACTATTAACCTCATGGTATACATTCCTAAAATTGGTAGCTGTTAATGAATTTTCATCTTTTTAACTCAAGCAAATTTTTGGTTTTTTTTGTTTACAAATCGTGTTATTGGGGGCTCTTATAACAATCTATACATCAATTTTATCAAGCACATTTGTACATATGTTGCCACCATCATTTTCAAAATGAGCAAATTTTTCAAAGGATTAAAATCTGTCTATGAGAAAAAAAATTTTAATGTTTATGTTAAACCATCTCAATCATGAGCTCTTTTGAGCTCATGTAACAGATTTACATTGTTAATATCTGAAAAAATTACTATAGCTGAGTAGGAAAAAGAAGAAAAACGTTAAAAGCCATTACCTCTGGGTGATAGAACACTAGTATGCTTTTATTTTCCAGTAACGGGGACTAAGGAGGAGGGGGCGATGGAGGAAGGCCCTACTCGGCACTTCAGTCTGAGCCCAAAGGAAGAGCTGAGTACAATGGGGGTGCAGAGACGCGGGGAGCAAGCAGCTGGGACAGCCTCCTGACCGTGAGCTTTTGGAAAGTAGACTTGAGGACGTATGGAGAAGAGGTAGGACCTCATCCCCTCAGAGAAGCAAAAGGGACTTCCAGCAAGATGGCCAACTGGGTAGACAGGCCACACAGACCCTCCACAACAAAGACACAAGAGACCCAATGAAACAGATGTAGATGATAATTCTGGACCTCTGAGCTCCGGAGAAAGGGGCAGAGAAGTGGACCAAATACAGCCTAGAAGATGAGGCTGAGTTAGAGTGATGAGAGGAGGCAGGCAGGTGGACTGTGGCTAGCATCATGCAGGGGAGCCTTCAGTAGCATGTGACTAAGGCGGCAGCGGCGGCACACACACACACACACACATCAGTGGCTGACGAAGAGAAAGGTGGGACCTGCCCTTGTCCCACCCCACCCCACTCTCCTGGTGACCCTAACCTCACTCCCCCAGTGGCGAGTGACCCTACCTGTCACACAGCCCCTACTCTGCCTGTGGTTGGGGCTGTGCCTTTGCAAATTGGGCTCCTGGCTACACCCCCACATCCGGAGGCATGTCCACTCTTGCCTCATCAGACCAGCAGAACACACAGAGCCAGGGCCCTGGCCGCCACCGGATGGGCAAAAATGCCCTATCTACCCACCTTATTCTATACTCCACCACCACCACCCCCCTTGCTCTGGGCCCCAGTGTTCCTTCTCAAAACAAGCACCCTGAACTCGGTCACCAGCTGAGCCCGCACAAACAGCGGGGCCAGCAGGCAGCGCAGGCCCTCACCCTCCTGCGACACGGAGTTGCCCTGCCCCATTTCAACGGTTTGGTTTGGTTTCCCTTTTTATCTTCTCTTTTTCCTTTCATCTGTTTCTCTCTTCCTCTTTCTCTTTTCTTAGTTTTTTCTTTATTCTCTTTTCTTCCCCCTTTTAGATTTAGTAAACTTTTTTCTTTTTATTTTCCTTTCGAGTATAAAATTTATTTCCTTGCTGTTGTTTGCCTGCTAGCCCCCACTTCTTTATTATTTTGTTAGTTTTTGAATTTTTCTCATTTTCCCCTATCCCACCTGACCCATGGCTAGCGACCCTGTGTACAACAGACCAGCCACTGCCTGATCTGTGCCCTCCATAACGACTGCTGGGGAGGCCACTGCGTTCAGCCAGCTTGTGGAGGGGTTTCCTCTTTTTCCCTGACCCTCGACTTTACGATGATGCTGTCCTTCTCCAGGGACTGGTCCCTCCTGATAGGATGTTCAAAGTACATGAAATGAAGTCTCACCATCTTTGCTTCCAAGGAGCATTCTGACTGACTTTCCAAGACAGATCTGTTTGTTCCTCTGGCAGTCCACGGTACTTTCAATATTCTCTGACAGCACCGTCAATTCAAAGCATCAATTTTCCTGCAGTCTTCCTTATTCATTGTCCAACTTTCACACGCCTATGAGGTAACTGAAAATATCAGGGTTTGGGTCAGGCAGACATTTCCAGATAAACAGAAATGAAAGGAATCTGTAAAAGCCAGCCCAACCTTACCCAAACAAAAACTGACGGGCGCTCTGTGGACAAAGAACCAACTGCAGACAAGAATCGGAGATTAATACACAGACCCCACCACCCAGAAATTAGCAGAGCTAACAGTATTCAAAGTAAAACAATATACAAGACTGAAAACAGGGAACCAGAAACACGTATGTGTAATGACGACAGTCACAAAATAAAAAGAGGCAACAGTGTGGTCACAGAACCTCTAAATGAAGAGGAAGTCAAGTAAATTTCAAGAGTAAAGAAATGCGGCAGAAAGGGTGTTGTCATTAAAACTGAAGATGTGTACCGACCTAGATGGAGGCGATGTTGAGAAACGTCAGCATCCCATTTTGGTCGTTTGGTTTAATAAGGGGGTGCGTGATTTTGTAGGCCAAAAATAAAAGGCAAAAGGACTCAGGAGTAAGACACCCCAAGTGAAGATTGCGAATCATTCCTGTTGACTACGAGGAAGCAGCAACCACACACACAAACGAGGCCCGATTTCCGTCGTTTCCAATGGGCGGCTTCTAAAGCTCGCTGGTCGTTCAGCTGGGGGAGGCGGTGTGGCCTGGGACTTTTCAGATGCCGCCAAGTTGATTCCAGCTCTCCTCCCAGGCCTGCACCATCTTCACAGCTGTCCTGATGGTTAAGCCCACAGGCGCTGCCATGGTGTCACTCCGTCATGTCGCAGGCCCGCTCTCTGTCGCTGCCCCACTACTTTACCAAGCATGCTGTCCTTCTCCAGGGACGGGTCTCTCTGGACAACACGTCTGAAGTCTGAGAGCCGACATCTGGCTGTACTGCCTCCAAGACAGACTTGTTTGGGACTAGAAACTCGATTTTTAATAGGTCCTGTGTTAGAGAGCCACAGAGGTCCAGGCTAAGAAAGGTCCAGGCATTTAAACACAAAGAAAGTTTGACAAATACTAAAGTTCACCGAAAGGGCCTCCAACGCAGAAACCAAGCTCACCGGGCTCAACAAGAGCCAGGGAGGGGTGAGCTGGGCATCGGGGAGGAGAGGGAGAGAGAGAGAGAGAGAGAGAGAGAGAGGCCAGAGAAAGCCAAGCCATCCCCATTCGGTTTCTGGCCTCTCCAGGAACATTATTCTTATGTGGGAGAAGGGAAAGAAAAGGTAATTCAGGGGAACTGAAGTCAGGACAGGCAATGGGCTGCTAAGAGGGCATGCCAATGCCTTACTGGTCTCAGGCTCTGAGCCCCAGCAAACCACATCCCAGACAGGAGTGACTCCGGGGACATGAGCCAGATCTTTTATGCAGATCCCGAACTACCACAGCACTGATCCCCAGCCAGGCCCAACAACAGTATGGCAATTGCTCAGGGAAGGAAGGGCAGGGACAAGCCTCAGTCTTTATAGGGGTTCAGACAGGGGCAACGGCATGCGCTAGACATGTTTATTCAATAAGGCACCTGACTAGAATTTCCTACTGATCCTGTGAACAAGAAGTCAAGGAAAAGGGTGAGCTGAGTGTACCTTCCCTAAGTGGCACGAGGTCCACTGCCGGGAGTCCCCGCTGCAGTGCCAGCCAGTATGTGTCACCCATGAGTGAGCGCCAGGGCCCCTGCCTCCATAGGCTTCTCCTCGGGGTCTGATGCTTTCTCCAACAGGATTTCCATTTCATTTTGATGATCAACTTGTAAAAAGTGAACTTTATACTCTCTGTGTCTCCAGGCCTCATCTGCTGACTGCCACACTCACTCTGGTATTGGGTGTGGTAAAGTGGGAGGTGAGGACAAAAGAGGACGACCCTTAGGGAGATGGACTAGCATAATGGCTGCAATGATGGGCCGGACATGGTAATGACCGTGAAACTGGCACAACACTGGGCAGTGTTTCCTTCTGCTGCATACAGGGCGCTAGGAGTCAGGACCGACGCCATGGCCCTCACAATTCAGACACGAGGACATCTGCAGCGTGAAGTCCTGCGAGGGCGGCAGCATCGG